TGCGGCCCCACGCCGGGGAAGGGGTGGCTGACGAACCCCGGACGGAGGCGCACCCCCGGGAGGACCCCTCGGGCGCCGCCCGGCCGGCGTGGCGCCGCTGCTCCGGCCCTCAGGTTCCGCTGCCGAGAGCGGAGGAGGATGGGGCCCCTTGGAAAGGAGCACGGGGCCTTAACGGGGTGGAGTGGGCAGACACAGATGGGAGGGGGCAAGCAGGTGGTGTGGAGGGCACCTGAACGGGGAGCTGGTGGGAGACATGGAGGAGGGGCCTGTAATAGGAGGGGCACGGGGCTGGGCTGGGGTGGTGCCCTGGGGGAATTAGGGGGAGAACAGTCAGCCTGTGGGGGCGCCAGGGTAAGGGGCCCGAGACCTCTAGGGGTTGGCGTTGCATGAGGGCCCACAGTTCAGCCTCGGGTCTCCACTGGGAATTGGACCCGAGGTCTTATTTTTTTGCAACTAAAGGGAGATAAACGATAGATGCGGAATGTCGTGGCCCTGAAGCCGCTTATCTGAAGCTCTGCACCTGGGTGGGAAATCGAGGCAGCTTCTCTTTGTCAGGGTGACATAGGTCCCCCGGGCAAGAGCGGAACAGTATGTTCTTACTGGTATGATGTCATACTGAAGAGTTTCAGAGAGTCTGTGATTTTAGACAACAAGTTTTCTCGGTGAGGAAGGAAACAGTCAAAGGAGGGGAAAGAGGGTGGCTACAAGCTGTGACAGCTGCAGCAAGACCATGGGAGAAGTGTGTCCTGTTAACTTCGCATCTGACTTCATCTGAGTCTTTTATCCCAGCCTGATGAATAGCGGGGCAGGGGCTTTCTCCGGGTCTTAGCGACTTACAGGGATAATCCTGGGATATGACATGGGTGATCTGGGTTTTGATGGTGACACCCCTGGGCTATGGTGGGACAGTCATGATCTCTGACGAGTACAGTTTGGGGCTGTGTGTGGAAGGTCCTACGTGGCACAGTTCTGGTGTAATAGGACAGCTCTGAACTCTAATGGGATAGTCCTGGGCTCTGATGAAGACAGTTTTACCCCGTAATGGAAATAGTCTGGGGCTGAGTCCTGAGCTCTGATGGATAAAGTCTTGGACTTTGATGTGGTGACTGTCATGGAGTGTGAAGGAGACAGTGCTGGGCCATAGCAGGGTGACATGGAGATAGTCCTGCGTTCTGAAAGGGACAGCCCTGGGACTTGTCAGGGACAGTACTGGGCTATAGTGGGGAAAAGTGGTGGGCTTTGGAGGGGGGGACAGTCCTGAGCTGTGTTGAGACAGTACTTTGTTCTGCCTGCGGTGGGGACAGTCCTGGGAAGTGACAGGGGCAATCTGGGGTTGTGATGTGGAGAGTCTTGGGCTGTCATAGGAAAGTCCTCATCTGTGATGGGAGAGTCCTGAGCCATAAAGGGACAGTTCTGGAACTTGATGAAACAGCTTGGGCTGTGATATGTACAGTTCTTGGCTGAGACAAGGACAGCACTGCCTTATGATAGTGTCTCTCCTGGACTGTGATATGGGGACAGTCCTGGGTGTGGAGGAAAGTGCTGGACTTTGACAGGGACACTCCTGGTCTTTGGTGACAGTCCTGGGCTGTGTAGGACATAGTGGAGGCTCCATTATGTCTCAGAGCCCTGCCCTGTGGCTTCCCCCACCCTCAGCCCTTCATTTCTTTCTTTTTTTTTTAAAGATGACCGGTAAGGGGATCTTAACCCTTGTCTTTTTTTTTTTAAAAAGATGACCGATAAGGGGATCTTAACCCTCGACTTGGTGTTGTCAGCACCACGCTCAGCCAGTGAGCGAACCGGCCATCCCTATACGGGATCCGAACCCGTGGCCTTGGTGTTATCAGCACCACACTCTCCCGAGTGAGCCACGGGCCGGCCCAGCCCTTCACTTCTTAATTCAGCCCCAATCCTTTTACATTCTTTGTCCCAGTAGCCCATCTGAAATCTGGGGGGGTGGTCTCCTTTGGCTCCAATCCCCATGGCTTGGGGTGTGGGATGCCTTCCTTGAGTGAGGTGAGACTCTTGCCTTTAGAGAAATGCCCTGGGAGGATGAAGGCAGCTTCTCCCATTGCCTCAGGGTCTCTGGCCGGTGGGGATTTATAATCTCCTGGACACCGTGCACAGTGCCTTCTCTCTGCCTTGTGGTGTGTAGTGTTTTTCCACCTGTCCTGCTTTCTCTCTCTCCTCAACGTCTTTGTCTCTAGGCACCCTAAAACAATTTCTCTGCAGGTGTTGGCATCTCTGCCTCTCCCAGTCTCTTCTCATTTCTCTGGGTCTCCCTTCCACTCTGGGATCTGTCATCTGAAGTGTGGTCTTTGTCTATTTTTTATTTTTTTATTTTTTGGTGGATGGCCGGCACAGGGATTCGATGGTCTTTGTCTATTTCTCTCTTTGTTCCTCATTCTCTGTCTCATGGCTTCTCTTTATCCTGTCCTCAGTATTTTCCCTTGATTTCCCCAGACTTTATTTTCCTTCCTTCCTTCCTTCCAAACAGTACAGGGATCGAACCTAGACTTGGTGTTATCAGCATCACGCTCTAATCAACTGAGCTTGGGCCGGCCTGTGGCTCACTCGGGAGAGTGCGGTGCTGATAACACCAAGGCCCCGGGTTCGGATCCCATATAGGGACGGCGGGTTTGCTCACTGGCTGAGCGGGGTGCTGACAACACCAAGTCGAGGGTTAAGATCCCGTTACCGGTCATAATTTAAAAAAAAAAAAAAAAAAAAAAGATAATCCACTGAGCTAGCCGGCCAGCCCCTCCAGGCTTTATTTCTTTGCCTGAGTTTGTCTCTCTCTCTGTCTCTTGTCTCAATTTCCCTCTCTCTTCGTGATCAGATCTATTTTGGCATCTCTTGGCCTCGGTTCCAGTCCTTGTCAGTTTGTGTTCCCCATTTCTGTCTCTTTTTCCCATTTGTCCTCTACTCACTCTTACTCATTTTTATTTTTTTCATTCTGGCTCCCTCTGAAGGCTGCTCACCTGCCCACATGCTGACTGTTCCCATGCTCCGTGTCCATCCTCTCTGCATACTATGGATGTCCTGTCCCCTCCTGGGCAGCAGCCATGGCTGCAGGGCTGTGCAGGCTACATGTTGCCACCTAGAGGCCATGATGGGGCCCACACTGTGATCATCCCAGAAGCCCTTGGCTCCAAACCAGCAAGACCACATCTTAGCTTCATGGCTCAGATTTTACCACACTGCAGCCCCGCAGTCCCTATCTCCCTGGGACTCACCTACTGACTGGTGACCGCTGCCATTCACATCCAGTTTCACTTGGTGCCAGCTCATCCAGCTCACAGGGCACGAGCAAGCTCGGCTGCTCTGTCTCCCTCAACCACGACCCAGCTGCCTCCCTGCAGGGCTGGGGAAGGAGGCATTGTTAGGTCAAAGGTCACCAGGGAGGGGCCACCCTGCTGGACACAGCCAGCCTGCTCTCCCCAGCTCCCATCCGGAGGGCCAAAAGGGAAGTATCCATTTTAGCATTGTCCAGTGAAGACTGCCCTGGCCCTCAGAAGCCTCTGGGGGTGGGCCCCAGGTCCCTGTGGCTGACGCTCAGCCCCTGGAATCTGAGGGAATTGGAGTTACTGCCAAAGTGGTGTCCAAGGTGTGGGGTTGGGGGAATAAGACTCCTGGGTCTGAGGAAGGAGGGGCTGGGGGTCTGGACTCCTGGGCCTGAGGGAGGAGGGAGTTGTGGGGTCAGGACTGCTGAGTCTGAAGGAGGAGGGGCTGGGGGTCTGGACTCCTGGGCCTGAGGGAGGAGGGGCTAGGGGTCTGGACTCCTGGGCCTGAGGGAGGAGGGGCTGGGGGTCTGGACTCCTGGGCCTGAGGGAGGAGGTGGCTGGGGGTCTGGACTGCTGGGTCTGAAGGAGGAGGGGCTGGGGGTCTGGACTCCTGGGCCTGAGGGAGGAGGTGGCTGGGGGTCTGGACTGCTGGGTCTGAAGGAGGAGGGGCTGGGGGTCTGGACTCCTGGGCCTGAGGGAGGAGGGGGTGGGGGGGTCAGGACTGCTGGGTCTGAGGAAGGAGGGGCTGGGGGTCTGGACTGCTGGGTCTGAGGGAGGAGGGGCTGGGGGTCTGGACTGCTGGATCTGAGGGAGGAGGGGCTGGGGGTCTGGACTGCTGAGTCTGAAGGAGGAGGGAGTTGGGGGGTCAGGACTGCTGAGTCTGAAGGAGGAGGGGCTGGGGGTCTGGACTGCTGGGTCTGAGGGAGGAGGGGCTGGGGGTCTGGACTGCTCGATCTGAGGGAGGAGAGATTGGGGACCTTGCATCCTGGGTCTGAGGTAGGAGGGGGTTAGGGACCTGGACTCCTGGTTGCGGGGAAATCGAGCTGTAGGTCCCTCACTTTTCTGCTCTTGTCAGGATTTAGGGCCCCCAGGAGGCCTTCACTTACCTGTGCTCCTCTCATTGTCGTCTTCTTGTGTGAGCTGGTCTCGGCGGACTGGGGCCAAAGTTCCCTGCTGTTGACTTTGCCCCAGCATGGAGGAGGGGGAGTGGAACTGACTCTGCTCTTACTAAGGATGGCCTCATGGGGGCGGGAAGGGGACGTGGCCTCCTTCAGGAATCTCCTTCCCCCTACACAGTGATCAGACAGGAGAAGGGATTTGGCCAGGGCCACATACCTGTCTAGAATGCCCTAGGACTGAGACAAAGCAGGCCAGAGGGCCTTCTACGTGCAGGGGTGGCAGATGGCATGCTAGGGCCCCTGATCTCTTCCACTGCCGGCTCCTCACCTTTGTCACTTCTTTCCCCATCCCAGATCTGGGTCCGAAAACTTCTCACTGTCCCTTGGCATCTTTGTGGTCCTAGGAGACATGCATCCTCCAGTTTCAAGGTGAAAGAAGGGAACTGTATGCTTGGATCTGAAGGACAGTGGTTGGGACCCACTCTCCTGGGTCTGAGGGAGGAGGGGGCTGACAGCTGGATTTGGGCATCTCCATCTCTGAAAGGTCCACATCCCAGAGGTGAAGGTGGGCAGCAGTGGGATTGCTTAGTAGCCTGGCTTCAGCCAGTGGGAAAGATGAAAACGCATGTCCCAGAAGCCTCTGGCACAGGGGGTCCCTCTTCTCTATGGGTCTGAGGCCCAGGGGTTCTTGGTAGTAGTACTTTTTTAGTTTGGATATTGTGGCCAGGTCCAGGATACTGTGTCCCCCCTGTCTTTTCTCAGGCTGCAGACCTGCAGCTGGAAATAACGCAGGAGCCTCATGAGAAGCCTGACCCCAGCAAGCCCCTGGTGTTTGGGAAGACGTTCACTGACCACATGCTGCTGGTGGAATGGAACAGGAAGAGTGGCTGGGGCCAGCCCCGAATCCAGCCCTTCCAGAGCCTCACGCTGCACCCGGCCTGCTCCGGCCTCCACTACTCTGTGCAGGTGGCGTGGCGACTGACCTCTGTCCCTTGTTCCTGTCCACATGCCTTCCTCCTTGCGAAGTCTCTTGCCAGGTGCACTTCCCCAGGTCTGCTTTTTGTGTGTTTCTTCTTTCTCTGCACTCATCATCCATTTTCAGAGGACTCCCATGTCCCAGACTGGGTGACACTGGGTCTCCCAAGGTGAGCAGACCAGTTCCTGCACTTGAAAACCCTGTGCTTTGGTAGTGTGATCTGTGCTCTGACAGAGGCATTGTGGAGGCCAGCAGGGACCCGGGTCTATCTCGAAAGAAAGTGGGTCCTCTCCTGGCAAAGAGGGGAGCTTAGGATGTTAGAGGAAGAAGGGACAGTCAGTACAAAGTCCCACATGGGAGAAGAGCCTGGAGTATTTGGGAGGAATTGTTGGATTGGAGGAGACTGAGGATGTCATCAGGGCCATAGAGTAGCTGTGGGGCTGGGACCTTGCCCATGGTGCTGGGAGCCATGGGGGGCTCTGAGCAGGGGTGAGGGAGGGCCAGATCTGGCTATCGTAAGACCCCTCTCAGGTCGTGTGGAGGATGAGCTGCAGTTGACAGACTGGAGGCCAGGAGGCCAGGCTGGGACAGAGACCCAGGTGGGAGAGGATTGGGAGGTGTGGAGGTCTGAACTGAGGACAGACAGGAGGGACTGGCAGGATGGGGGAGGGAAAGGAAGAGAGGGCCCAGGGTGGTGCCCAGAGGTCTGGCCAGGCAACCAGGGGGCCTGCCCCCATTTGGGGACCCAGGAGGAGGAGCAGCTTTGCGGCACCTGGCAAGAATGAGAGGCCTGTGAAGTTTCTAGGAGAGACATCCAGGAGGCATTTGGTTTTATGACTTCAAGTTGTGGCTGAAAGCAAAGTCCTCAGGGAGAAACTTTAGTTGAAACAAGATTTAGATGAGCATTTTACAGCTCCAGTAACTGGTCTGCAGTTTGGGTAATTTTTGTCTTCCAAGGTGTTAGGTCTTCTTCCTTCCTCCCTTCCTCCCTTCCTTCCTTCCTTCCTCCCTTCCTCCCTTCCTTCCTTCCTTCCTCCCTTCCTCCCTTCCTCCCTTCCTCCCTTCCTCCCTTCCACCCTTCCACCCTTCCTCCCTTCCTCCCTCCCTTCCTCCCTTCCTCCCTTCCTTCCTCCCTTCCTCCCTTCCTCCCTTCCACCCTTTCTCCCTTCCTTCCTTCCTCCCTCCCTTCCTCCCTTCCTCCCTCCCTCCCTCCCTCCCTTCCTTTCCTCCTTCCCCTCGTCCCCCTTCCCCTCTTCCTTTCCTTCACTTCTTTCTCTACCTCTTTCTATCAGAATTTTTAGGTGTTTTTTTTTTTTTTTTTTTTTTTTTTTTTTTTTTTTTTTTTTTTTTT